AAATGTTGATACCATTTGTCCTCCCTGTCTTAGAAAGCAAGCTTCCTACTTACTGTAAATAAATGTGGATTTTTGCAGGTCTTGGGCATTCTAATTTCTTAATGTTTTTCAGCTCTTTGAATGGGTATCAGATTCTGTCCCAGGTTTTTGTCAGCTGTTGGCACCTTCTTAAGCAGTATAAGAACTTTGATACTAGTCATCCTCTGCCCTGTGTGTTTCTAATGCTCTGAATGTTAAGATAATTGCTAATCATACAGATACTGGCTAAAGCTAACATCTACCAAAAAGATTTCAGTTATCGGCACCTTCATACTTCATTTGCTTTTTACTTTTCTTTTCTTTTCTTTTTCTTTCTCTTCATGCTAATCATTATCTGGCTATGAAAGGATGTCGGCTCATCATTGGGGGAAGGCTTTTGCGAAAAGGTGGGTTTTTGTGTTGTGTTCCAAGTGTAGTTGGTCTTAGGCTCACTCCCTCCCTCCCGCTGAGGTCTCTCACAAATGAAGATGTTTTACTCCATTTCCTCTGGGTTGAGTAATACTGGGGTGGGACTGGGGGGAGGAGAAGAATGATTTTTTTTATGATAGAAATTGTCTTGTTGGCTTGAAAATGGATAGTTTTTTAGAGAACCCTCCTACTATGTGCAAAAAAAAAAAAAAAAGGCCCCTTTAAAGTATTTAAAAGATTTTAAAATGGAACCTGATGCATGCCAAGATGCAGAAGAAGGTGCTGTCTTTCATAAGTGGATTTCAGGAGACTTATTTTAAAAGAGATGGTGACTCTGGGCTAGCCTGAAGCCACACAAAGTATCCAGTCTCCTTGCTTCAGTTCCCTATCTGCAGTATAATGGTCTGTCTTTGCATGAAGACAGGTATTTTGGGACTCCCTTGGCTATGGTGAGTATCACGAATGAGTGTTACTCTTATACAGAGCATACGTCCAGGAGATACAGCTCACCTACCACGATGTATGGAAACTACATATAAACACATGCTTGTTTCTAAGACAAGCGCCCCTTTCTTATTGAAACCATTTAAATGTGCACCTGGGAAAGAAGCCTGAAATTTAACAGAATCTTTGGAGGGTCAGGGGTGAGGGAGGCAAAATCTGTGGAGTTGAGGGTCGTCTTGGGAAAAGACAAATGACCTGCATCTCAGTTTAGAGCAGAGGATGTTATTGCTATTTCTCCAGGCTGAGATTAGAGCTGTTAATCTGTGGTGATGGTTTTGTTTCATCAAAGTAGCTGCTGAGGAAACTGCCCTGGGAGGTAGCTGAGTACAGCTGAATGCTATACAAGCCAACACCTGACTTGAACTTTTCCTGGACCATCTATATTTTTACTTTTTGCCTACACCATTTAGTTTCCCATCTACCTATCATGGCTTCTTGAAAATGATTTGGGTGGGAGAAACACTCTTAGTCAGTTTTGAGTTTATGCCTTTTAGTACTGTATGCTACCAAGCCCTCTTTTTTTTTTTTTCATTTCCAAAAGCAAAAGAAAATCCATGTTGAAACCAAGAAGCTGTTTTCTGCAGCTTTTAGAAAACTTGTGTTCTGTTCAATATAATAATCTTGTATTTGACAGAGGAAGGACTTGCTGATAGATTTACTTACGTGAGGTGAAAAAGTCCGAATTAGATGTGCTTGCAAATGGACAGATTTCTACAGAGTGAAGCACAGCTATGAGCAAGTCAGTTGGAGAGAACTGAATTGCTTAGAAACACACAGCTTGATATTCAAAAACCACAGCTGAAAAAGGTCATATTCTTGAAAAGAAATAAGCTGGGCTAGGGTGGAAACGCAAACCTCTGTACAGGGAGATTGTGTTAAATTTATAAACACTAGTCCAAAGAAGTTCACGGCTGTTAATTCCTCCCTTTTAAGTGCAAAGCTAGAAAGCATGGGGGGGCGGAAAGTAGGACATAAGAACTCGTTCCTCAACAAAGGATAGTGAAGCTCTCAAGATATAGTAAACCACTCCAGTTAATATGTGGAACAGAATTTATTAGTATAACAGAATCTTTCTTTTACCTAATATTGTTTATATAAAGTAGGATATGAGTAAGATTAGTTCTGAATAACCTGTACACAGCTCCTCTGGTTTGGGAATACATGGTACGTGATGCCTGTGTCTCAACTGCCTCATAAGCTGGCTCAGGTCTGACACAGTTTATTAGTTCAGGCACAAGACAGCACAGATGCAGATACTCTGTTTTCAGAGTCAGCTATGTGGTTCAGAAGCAGCCTACTGTTGAATCTCTCTGCTCCGGAACCTAAGTTAATAAGCCATGCTTGGAGGCAGGCTGGCTCTTGCTGAAGGCAGCTTGTGTGCCTGTGCCATGTGCTCAGGTTTGAAAGACTTATAGTCTAAATAGCTATGATATACTTATTTTTCTGAGGTAGGTTATCAACTCAGTGTAGTGCAATGTAAATAGTACAGCTGTATTCCTGGGATGCTGTACTTCAACTAAAGGTGAGCCTTCCTCTAATAAATTCAAGAAATATCCTTGTGGTCCTGTACAGAACATCCCAGTTCTTGATTGCTGGGAGTAGTGATGTAGGAGGACGTTAATATCTAGCATCAGCACTTGCTGCTTTTTTCTAGCTGGTCTGAATAACTTGACACTTAAAGGTACCAAAGGAGCTGGCAAAAGTTCTCTGCATTGTATGCTGCAAGGTTTGTTAGAAGTCAAAGTTTAGGGAAGTGTGGAGGATTGGCATTGCTGTGCCAGTATATACAGGGGTAAATAAGATGACCTGAACAACCAGCATCAGCCTGGCATTAAGGACATGCAAAATAGTGAAATTATTCATACAGGGTTTCATTGGCTTTAGTAGGGACTTCAGCTGGGTGACTGGTCTTGTCCTTCCTCTTCTTGAGAGTTATTGATTGATAAACACTTATCTAGTTGTCATAGGTCTTGAGATAATAGTGAGAACAAGGAATTGTCATCAAGCATTGAATTTTTACAGGATCTTGTTATGGATGTGCTTCTTGTTCCTGTGCCATTTATTAGTGATTTGGAAGAAGTGTACACTACTGCTCCTCTAAACTAGGATAAAGTTTGCTTGAGTATTAAATAGGGCAGGATAGGTCAATCATCAGGAACATGTAATAACCTGCATGTAAGGAAACTCTGCATTTCACTTTAGCCAAATGTGAGATCATGCATGTAAGGAACTGGGACTGTAAGTCATTATGTGTGGTAAGGGAATGAGAAACTATAACTCTTAAAAAAAGTAAGAGTTGGTGTTGGGTGGTCAGATACAGATGGTCTTCTGCCAGGAAGAGCTAGTTCTGCCCATGTAAAATCAGTGGGGTGTTGAACAGAAGATGCAATCTCTGTGTTTAGTCCTACTGCACCTGCTGTTAGTATGGCATGTCCAGCTCTAGCATGAGCCTCACAAAACGGTTTTGGAAAAATAGGAGAGGGTTCTGAAAAGAACTACAAGAAATGTTTTCTTGTCTTTAGTCATTCTTACAGCAGCCTGTTGAGGGAGTTCAATATATATAACTTAATAAAGTGAAGGAGTAATGTGATCATAGTAATTAAGTACCTATATGGGAAGTACAAATCTAATGACAATGCAGTAGTCAGGCAGTGAGGAGAAGCTAAAGCCAGATCCATAGTAAAACATATGCACCACTGTGTGTGTGCATGGTGGTTTTTTAAAATAGTATCTATTGAAACAATTTTCCAAGAGTTGCTGTAGACTATTATCAATAGTATTTCTTAAATGAAATGAATGTGTTTTTAAAAATAATTTGATCACAGCTGTTGCACTCAAATTAACAAACCAAGGAACTTAAGATGCCAGAGTGTGTGGTCACAAGGTTACATCAGGTTATCAAACAGAGTGTGAAACTTGCCAAGTGTCGTGCAAGCATGGATTTGTTCATTTGTGCCTGTACAATGATGGTTAGTTCTTGAGTTATGATCTCACATCCTTATGCTACAGTGATTTTTCAGACTGAGTGTTACTGTATGCCAGATTTTTGGTTGTCCCTGCTGGATTTCAGCAAAAAGAGTAGTAGTGGAAGAGCAAGATCCGAGATTTCGAGGATGACTGTGAATTTAGCATGTCATCTTCTGCATAGCCAGACGTTTGCTCCATATTTGCAGACTACTGAGCATTTCTAACTAATACTTTAATTAGTGAAGTTGGTGTATAGACCTCAACCATGAGTTGAGAACTAAGGGACATGAAGGGACCTGCTCTTTCACAAACAGGCTGTCAGGAAATGAAAAAATACTTTACTGTTATCGTAACCATGTGATCTAACGACTAAAGACTGTTTTAGGTATGATACATACCCATTCATTTTTACAATTAATAGCTATTCAGGGAAACAGAGTGAAAGGAACTGAACAGATTGCAGACAGTATCTCAGATCTCTGTAGCTGGTACTCAGCCTATTAATAGCTGAGGTTTCTATACATTAAGTAAGATTTCTTCCCTTGTTCTCCAGACCATCCTGGGTATTTTCAGTCATGAGGTTTTATAGGAACAGGAGTCTAGTACAAGAGAAAAAAAAAAAACCTTTTATTATCAGTAGTATGAAACTGTCCAGTAAGGGTGAACGTTTTACGGTCTGTGCTTTTGGGAAAGCTTTGTTTGTGCCTCCTTTCCAAAGGCTTTCCTGCTCTAGCTAGACACTGTAATGCAAACAAGAAATAATATCACATACCTACATGTTCCATAACTGATTCACCAGTCCATGTAGCTTGCTTAAAAATGCTCAACTGTTGCTGCAGTTCAGGTGACGTTCCACTTGGTCTTTACAAGGTGATGAAATGGATATTGTGTTATGAACTGGGAGCCTTTTTATTGTCCCCATCAGAGCAAAGTTCAACGTGAATCTGAAGTTCGAGTTGGATCCTTTGAAGGTTTCTTCAAAGGAGTTGCTAATGTTTTTGAATGTTGTATGCTTCTTATCATTGACATGTTTTGTCTTTATTTCTCAGCCTTATCTGTGTATGTTTTTGTTGCAGCACACGTCCCATGGAGATGGACGGCAGGAAGTTTCCTCTCGAACTGGGCGCTCTGGAGCTCGCTGCAGGAACTCTATAGCTTCCTGTGCAGATGAGCAGCCGCATATTGGAAATTACAGACTCCTTAAAACTATTGGAAAGGGGAATTTTGCAAAAGTAAAACTGGCAAGGCACATCCTAACTGGCAGAGAGGTAAAGTGATATCGGTGTAAACAGTAGTGAATTGCAGTAGGTGTGAAGGTTCTCTTAGAATAGCATCATCTAAGTCTGTGAATGTTTAGTACATTTTACTAGAGATACTGCTAGTGATGTAGAAAAAAATAGAAATGGAAAACTATTTTTTTAGTAATGATTACAAAACAATTTCCTTTGAAAACAATCTCTTAAATTTGTATTTTTGACAAGTCCCTGTCCAACTGAATTGTGTTCAAGTTTGCTATTAGAATTCTTTGCTAAACCCTCCATTCCCAAAAAAGGGCTCAATATGTAGCAATTACATAAGCTTGCTGGAAAGACTGCGTCTTGGTGTCTTTATACTGCACAGTGCAGGGCTGTATTGGAGGGGAAGTCAGGAATGAGAACCAATACATCTTCTTGATGATGGTCTGAGTAGCCCAAACACAGTATTTTCTTGCCAAAGCAATGTATCTCCCAGAAGTTCTGCTAGTGTATGCAGTACTGGGCAGCCTTGGGAAGACACTCCAGTTTGTTCAGATCCGGTTTGTGTTGTCTAGTGTAGACAAGCTTTCTCTTGTATCTCTTCAGAGTGTCTGAGCTTTGTAATTAGTTTCTGCATGCCATTGCAGTGTAATTAATAACTTGCACTTAATGATTGTTCTGATTTGGTGAGCTATAGTCCTGTTTGCTCCTTACAAGAAAGCGTTTCTTGGTGCTGTTTTATTAATAGCAACTCTACATACTGAAAGAGGGAGAAACACCTTGTTGACCTTTTCTTGCCAAACCTGTCTAATGAAGTAAATGTTTGCTGATACCGGCAAGGATTTTTAAAGAAAACTATGTGGCTGACTGCAGTGCTTTAAGGGAATTTCTCTCATCTGAGCTAATATGGATTTCAGTAGTGCTAGGAGGAACAGAGGGAACATAATTTTGCAAGAGTTGTTGGGAGGGATTTGTTGTTTTTGGGGGTTTTTTTGGTTTGTTTTTTTTTTAAGCTGACAATGCCGGTGATCAGCACTTGTCTTCTGGTGTTAATGTTCTTTTGTAGACAAAGTTTTTGGTTAATTGCTTTCCACTTAAGTTCCCTCTTCTTTTACTGATAGTTAACACAGGAAATGCAAGTACTTGGTTAGTATTTCTTTACTGTTCTTATAGGAGTTGGAGATAGGTATCATGTCACGCATTGTTTTGCAAAAAATTGAAGTACATTTTCTTTTACTTGCCCATAACTGTGTGTTGACCCCTGGTTCATTATTTTTTTTGACATTTCAAACAAAAATAAAGTGACAATGTAGAATTTTTTGGGCAAATTTGGAAAGATTTAAGTACTTAAGTTTCTTTAACTCTCATGGAATAGATGTCATTCAATCAATTCAGAGCATAAATACTTTCCAGGATGTCGCCATTGGTTCTGGTTGCCTAGAATGAGTGGCATTCCTTTGATGGGAACGAATAAGTTAGTTTTATAGGAATAGGTATTTTGAACTTTTTTTTTCTTTGTAAGAGAGATGAATAAAAGTTTCTCTTATTGCTACGTGAACTGTACAGCATTGATAGTCATTACATATTTTAGATCTGAATGACCAGAATTGTTCACAATATTCTGGATAACAATTTCCCCAGTGCCATGAATTTACCCTTCCCCTTACAGAAGTATTTATCTGATCAACCTTTAGATGGTGCTAACCTTTTTCATGGCTGTCACATTGATGTTTTTTGGTTGTGATCAGCAACAACACACTTTGTACGTTGTTGAATCTTGCTTTCTTTGCTAACTGGTCTCCAAGGTTGTTTATATCAGTTTTCCATTGAATTTGATGGTGCCTCGAACTCCTTCAACAGACTTAATCATTATGATTTGACTTCCTGTGCCAAGGCCACTGATGCAGATATTGAACAAGATTCATCCTAAGTCTTGTCCTTGAAAAACTCTTACTCATTTATTTCCAACCTGATATCTCTTTAGCCATTTTTTAAGCTGAAATGTGCACAGAGCTTTTTTAATTATCTAGTTCAATAATTTCCATGCATCCTCCTAGATGAGGCTTTACAATAGTCCAGATAATCATATCTTGTGTGTTTCCATAGGGCACAATTAACTGTAGGAAAATATGTTGTATTTAATCTATCTGTTTCTCTGGTTTTTTCCTGCACGTTTTGAGCTCAAGAATTTTGTGGTAAATGGCTCTACTAAAGAAAATTTAAAAAAAAAAAAAAGTTAAGCCTGATAATTTCTGAACCTGTGCTGCCATTTTGTTCTTGATAGATGTTAGAAATCTGTGCTGCAAGAATGCCTCTTCCCCCCACCCTGCCCCTTCTTTAAACCTGCCACTCTTAAGAACGCCAGGATAACGTTCTCAGTCTGGCCTCAGCCAGACAGCACTCATCATCCTGAATTTGTGATTTCCTGCTTTACACACTCATTCCTGC